GCCCATAGCAGAAAAAGCAGCCCACACTGTTCTTTCTTACTAAAGGGCTGTATTGCCTCTATACCTTCTTGGGGACTTTGAAGAGTTGGGTCCTCACCACCCTCCTGCTAAAAAAAAGAGCACCCAGAGGGGTGGGTGCTGCCTGATTCATGCTGTTAATAGTCCCTACTCTACAGTCAGGGAAAAGAAGCAGGCCATTCTGTGGGGACCTATGGGCAGCAGAGTGCTATGGTGTGTAGTGCACAGGCTCTGGGATTTGACTGGGGTTCTGGCTGCATGACTGCTGAAGGTTCTTTAATTTTTCAAAGCCTCATTTTCCTCGTTTGTAAAATGAAATCAGACTGCTCATTTTATAGGGATGAAATTTATGCAAGATATTTAAGGTACCCTACTCAGAGTAGGCATTCGACAAATGTTAGTTGCTCTTTCCTTTTTAGGGGGATCTTGTCAGTGTCGTGGAGCCAGGCTGATGCTGAGCTTCTGCTCAGTAGTGCCAAGGACAACCAGATCTTGTGCTGGAACCTGGGGAGCAATGAGGTAGGCTGGCCATTCTGTGGGCATGTTGGGAAGGGAAATAAGCTGTGTGTTCCTTACCTAAATCAGGGTTTCTCTAATGGTTGGGTTCCCTCACAGGTAGTATATAAGCTACGCACACAGAGCAGCTGGTGCTTTGATGTGCAGTGGTGCCCTCGGGACCCTTCAGTGTTCTCTGCTGCCTCCTTTGACGGCTGGATCAGTTTGTACTCCGTGATGGGTAGGAGCTGGGAAGTCCAGCAGATGAGACAGGCTGACAAGGTTTGAAAGGCTTGGTGGAGAATGCTGGAGGGAATGCTGTCTCTATATGGGGGGAGAGAAAAGGACGAATGGCCTGGGAGGAAGTGGGGACTGTTGGAGACTGGGAAGCCAGGACCCTGGATTGGGAGGGCTTCACCTTTGCTCTAGTGCCCATCTTCCTGGGAGGGTGTCCGTTCCTGCCACAATACAGAAGAGGCCTTCATGTTGACTCTTGCTCTTGGATGTTCTCTGTGATATTTCAGGGACGTTGGATCCCATGCTGGGACCATTATTTTGGAAGTATGAACTGTCTCATCTCCTTTTCTCCTGTAGATCCATTCTGTGTCTACACTCCACTGTAGACCTTGGATGCAGTAGGTTTTCCAAGAGCTACTGCATGGGAGTCCTACCCTCACTACCAGTTCCCTAGAAAACGGGAGTCCAGCCTTTCTGGGCCAGATTGGGTATCTCAAGGATTTCTCCCTGAGTAAAGTTTACAGATGCAGCACCACTTCGGGTTGGTGATACAGGTGTGCTTTTACCCTCAGATCTCTTCTTCCTTCAGCAAAGGCCAGCCTCTCCCACTGCTGCAGGTACCAGAGCAAGTGGCCCAAGCATCATTGATACCTCCTCTAAAAAAACCCCCCAAATGGATGAGAAGGCCAGCAGGTGTTTCATTTGCTGTAAGTATAGTGTGTGGGGGTGTGTGTGCATGGTTGTGCGTGTGTATCTGTATCTGTGAAGCCTCTCGTATGCCCAACATGTAGCTATGTTCTGTAGGAGATTTATTCCTACTGCCTGTGTCTCAGATCAGGTCCATTTTAGGGCTCAAGCAGAGTTACTATTGCTTTTTCCTCTACCCCTTCACCTTGCTTACCGTGCTAGTCCTGTCTAAAAGGTATTGGTTGCTATAGGCTGCTTGGTTATAGAGAACTGCCTGAGATTCCACCTGATTTTTCTCTAACCCTTACATGTCTGGACTGGTAGTCCAGACATGTAAGGGTTAGAAATACAAAGCAGGAAAGAAAAAAAATTCCATCCTGTCACTCCTCTGCCCAAAACCTTTGACTCCCATTCCCTTATGGACTTACCTGTCCAGTTTTTATCCTCACCTTATTCTTATGTGTTCCCTAGGTTCCAGTTACATATGACTCCTTTCTGTTCCACAAATAACTCCTCAACTTTGCTGCTTCTGCATGTACCCTGCCCTTCACTTCTCTCCTGAGCCACTGAATCCTACTATAGTCTTTTATGGTCCCTTGCTTAAGTACCACCCCCTCCACAATGCCTGTCTTTAAACCCTTGTCAAACTTCACTTCCAGGATTTCTACTCCTGTAATGATGCATTCTAACTGTACTAAGGTTACTTAAATACATGTGTGGAGACCCTACTAAGTAATAGACTCCTTGAAGATAGGGACCACATTTTGTTCATTTTTATCCCTAAAGCAAGTGCTTCTCAAACTTTAATGCACATACAGATCACCTGGGGAATCTTATGAAAATTCAGATTCTGGTTCATTCAGTCTAGGGTAGGGCCCAAGGTTCTGATTTTCCAACAAGTTCCCAGGTGGTGCCCTTGCGGCTAGTCTGAGGAGTGGCAGGGTCCTAAAGCACTTAACCCAGTGCTTTAAATATTAGGTTTGAATTGAAAACAGATGTATCAAATAAGTGGTTCTTGTGTTCACAGCCTCCAGTTTTATTGTGGAGGTAAAGCTAACATAGGAGGCAGTGAGGTGAAGAATTCTGATGTTGAGAGAAGTACGTTCCTTTTGTTTGTTTGTTTGTTTGTTTGTTTCAGGAGGTAATTCTGTGTTTTAATTTTTTGAGGAATCACCATACCATTTTCCACAGCAGCTTCACAATATTTCCAACAGCAATGCCTAAAAGTTTCATTTTCTCTACATCAGCCCCAATACTTATTTTATGCCTTTTTTTAAATAAAGATTTTATTTATTCAATAGAGAGAGAGCACACAAGCAGGGGGAGAGGCAGAGGGAGAGGGAGAAGCAGACTTCCCACTGAGCTGGGAGCCCAACGCGGGGCTCGACCCCAGGACCTGGAGATCATGACCTGAGCTGAAGGCGGATGCTTAACCATCTGAGCCACCCAGGTGCTCTGATTTTCTGCCTTTTTTTATTGAAGTATAGTTGATGCACAATGTTACATTTAGTTTCAGGTGTACAGCTTAGTGACTGACAAGTCTGTACATTATGCCGTACTCACCACAAATGTAGCTACAGCGCTATGCTGGTGTCATGGACTGTATTCCCTCTGCTGTGCCTCTCATCCCCATGACTTACTCATTCCATACCTAGAAGCCTGTACCTCCCACTCCACCTCACCCATTTTGCCCATCCTCCCACCCCTCTCCCCTCTGGCAACCACCAGTTTCTTTGTATTTATGGGTCTGTCTGGAGAGGCCTGTATTTTTTTTTTTTAAGATTTATTTATTTATTTGAGAGAGAGAGTGCCCATGTACAGGTGGGGGGAGGGGGCAGATGGAGAGAGAGAGAGAGAGAATCTCAAGCAGACTTCCGGCCAAGCAGCCCGATACGGAGCTCGATCCCATTATCCTCAGATCATGACCTAAGCTGAAATCAAAAAGTCGGACACTTAACCAACTGAGCCACCCAGGCACCTGAGGCCTGCATTCTTATCATAGCTCTGTCACTTATTAGCTGGGTAACCTTGGGCAGTTCGACTGTCTGTAAAATAGGGATAGTAGTACCTGCTCAGCTTATGTTAGTGAATTGACATGAATCTCAAATAAGAATATACATAAGCACTTTGTAAGACTACCAAATATTAACAAATCAAAAATTAAGTTTGTTTTGTTTAGCACTAATCTGTAGTGTAGGTTTGTGCTGTAGGAATCAAGTGAAGAATTCCAACTGGGAAAGTTCATTAAGGAGGAGGTCTCAGGAAAGGAAATAGTGAAGGGGTTGGGAAGTAAGCAGTAGTTGTCAACCATGACTGCAACTTGAAGAACTTTCAAATATACTGATGTCTAGTCCCACCACCAGAGATTCGGACTTTATTGTCCGGAGTGCAGCCTCATGACTCTGGATAGCTCCTCAGGTTGTGTTAATGTGCAGCCACGGTGGAGACCTGTTAGAGTCAAGGAAATTTACTCAGCTCTGCTTGGTGACAGATGCTTTAGGTAGGGTACCTAATTGTGTGAGAAGGATGCTCAGGTGGGGCTGTTTTGGTGGTTGAAGGCTCAGAAGGCGGAATGAACTGGGCACTTTGGGGATGTGGAGAGATCACATAAATGAGCAGGGAGAGAGAGGCTAGAGAGTCTGGTCCTGACTTTGGAGGAGCTTAAGCTCTCTTTTGTGGCCTTTGAAACCAGAACACTCCTAAGCAGCCATAGGTACAGGGTGGTAGTCTAAGGCTTGGATTGGAGGAGGAAAACTCAGAGGCTAGCTGCCTATTCCAATAACCTAGGCGTGCTAGCACTGGGAATGGGACAGGGGGCTCTGTGTGAGAGACACTGCCTAAGAAGAGGTAAGACTGCTGTTCCATGGCTGTAGCTGTGGTGGGTATAAAGACCATGATGACGCCAAGGCGTTTAGTCCAGGTGACTGGGAGAATGGTGCTACCGGCCCGGGTCAGAAGGTGAGCACCGTGTGCTAGAGTTTTATGCTGATGGTGCTAAAAATGTAGAGGTGGTTTAGGTATAGGGGTGCATTTTCTGCTCATTTCCTGATCCTATTCCACCCCCAGGAGTTCTTATTGTTGATTTCTTATCCTAGGGTCAACCAATAAATAGCCTTCCCTGTGATGTGGACTTGGTGTTAATTTTTAGCTTGAAGATACAACCTTCACCCTTCTTGTTTTTCCTCACCAGTTTGGAGGGAAGCTGGTTACCTTTGGCCTCCCCAGCACCCCTGCTCATCAGGTGCCCCAGCCTTGCCTCCGCCTAGTCTTCATCAGTCAAGTCATCACAGAATCTGAATTACTGAGGCGGTCAGCTGAGCTGTGGGAGGCCCTGGAATCAGGAAATCTTCTGAATTATTGTCAGAACAAGATCGAACAAACATCACTGCAAAGTGAAAAGATGCTCTGGCAATTCCTGAAGGTAGGAAGCCTGAGGCTGGCTGCTCCAAAGTGTTTCCCCAAAGCCGGAAACTCTAGGAGATGGACAACCACACTGTGACCTAGATTACAGAGGCCCTGACTCTCAGGCTTTTTCCTACACCACACCACCCTCTGGACACAGCATCTTCACCTTTTACCAGTGTCTCAGAGACCTTTTGCAGCTAAGGAAGCTGAGGGGTACAAGTGACATTTGCCTTTTTTGCTTCTATTGCTGATGTCCTAGATACTTTACCAGGCCCAAGGTGAAGGCTTTCATGCCATGCCAAAGGGCAGATAACGTGATGGGAAGAGAGAAGAGAAAGGAAAGGAAGGAAAGAGGATTGGCTGGAAGGGGGCATCATCATGAGAAGGCTTTGAGTTTGTTTCAGGTAACCCAAGGCAAGTTATTATGGTGGGACTCAGGGCTTAAGTCCCAGTTTACTCTGGAGGCATGGATCAAGTTCAGTGCTAATAAAATTTCAAGCTGTGCATGACATCAGGAGGAGTGTTCCACCTGTCAAAGGAATTGAGTAGATGGGAGGAGAGAACTAAAGGGGGAAAGAGAACTGACTGGACAGGCAGTGAGAGGATTATTCAAAGCTTTGGGATCATAGTGAATAATGCAAAAAGGACAGAGCTGTCCCAGGGGATCTAAGAAGGGCTTGGGGTCTATGCTTCAGACGTAGTAGAACTTTGTGATGGTAGACACCAGGAATCTGGGAAGGAGACAGGATTTGAGAAGGATCATCAACTGTAGAGTGAAGCTAGAAAAAGGTGTGGGAAGAAAAGAATAAGAAGTGATGCTTTTGTTGTAATCAGAATACGGGCAACTGCTCCGGGAATGATGGAATGGGAAAGAGAATAGAGGGCATCATCAGGAGTTGAGCCTTTCTTCTGAACAAAGGAGGCAGCTGTACCTAAGGATAGAAGGGAGTCTGGTTGAAAACCGACCCAAGAGCTGTCCATTATGATGGTTCTGAAGCTGAATGTGGCTGAACATTTCCAAAGGACAAATATGGGAGAAGAAGAGAGCCCTGAGAGACTGTGAGAAATATAGTAGTCAGAATTCGTGGCTCTGGGTAGGGCAAATGAAGGGCCCAGCCAGCTAACCCAGATTAAGGTATGGCTTCAGGAAGGCTTGGCCCCCAGTATCTGGGACACTGAGTGGGTTAAGCTGACTTTGTTTTCTTTTTTTTTTTTTTTAAAGATTTTATTTATTTATTTGACAGAGAGAGAGAGATCACAAGTAGGCAGACAAGGGAGAGGGAGAAGCAGGCTCCCTGCTGAGCAGGGAGCCCGATGCGGGGCTCGATCCCAGGACCCTGGGATCATGACCTGAGCCGAAGGCAGATCCTTAACCGACTGAGCCACCCAGACACCCCTAAGCTGACTTTGTTTATTCTATCTATGCAGCTTCTACCACGAACTATGCTTTCAAGTAGTTTTTTTTTTTTAAAGATTTTATTTATTTCTTAGAGAGAGAAAGAGATCACAAGTAGGCAGACAGGCAGGCAGAGGGAGAGGGAGAAGCAGGCTCCCCGCTGAGCAGGGAGCCCGATGCGGGTCTTGATCCGAGGACCCTGGGATTATGACCTGAACCGAAGACAGACGCTTAACGGACTGAACCACCCAGGCGCCCCTTCAACTAGATATTTTAGACTCACAAGACTCTGTAGGTTCACTTGGCATCAGTCTCCTCAGAAGGATGTGGGACAGGAACCACGGCTTGGCAGGGCAGCCGGAGGTGGCGCTCTTCTGTGGGGGTTCTTGCAGCAGCCCATGCAGCAGTTCAGAGTTCTTGTCACCTCCCTGAAAGACAGCTCAGGTACAAGGTGATGAGATGCACACAAGGCAGGTGTGTCAGTGGCCCTGGTTTTGAAACCTCATGCCCACAAGAGCCAATGTCTCTTGTACCCACTTCAAAAATGTTTCTAGAGTCCCTACAAGAGATCTGTTCAGTTACAAGAGTCCTTGCAATCAGGGAAGCCTGGAGCATGTCCACAGATGCTATTTAAGTTTTGTATAGTTCCAGTCCAGATACAATTCATCCATCACAAGCAATGTTGCCTGGAAACATAGGTGACATTTGACTCTTACCAGGTAACCAGGCTAACAGATCTAGTAAGTCAACAGAAGGTCCAGTTCTCATGTAGAAGTGGGAGAGGGTTTTGTTAACACCATGCCTCTAGCCCAGCAGGATCAAATCCGGGGAGAAAAAGGGCAGAGATGGTGTTGGCCTCAGTAGGGCACTTCTGGTAGTATGAAGAACTATATTAGAGGGTTCACTGGCACGGATGTTCGGCTTATGCAAGAGAGGGTCGTTCACATTGATTTAATGGAGACTTGTGTGTTCTGCGGTTTATTAGGTGACCTTAGAGGAAGACTCCAGAATGAAATTTCTAAAACTATTAGGATACAGTAAAGATGAGTTCCAGGAGAAGGTAAGCTGCTTTCACATCAGAAGCATATACTTGAAGCAGAGAAGAAGAGAATGCTGTCAGTGGAAACCGTCTCGGTGACCTCTTTCTGGGCTTCGTTAACACATGTACAAACCTTTTACCTCCTGGATGTAGGCTTTTCCCCAGGTAAATAGCCCAAGGATCTTAGAGAGTCCAGTTGGTGTGGTGTGGAGGTGGGAAGAAAGCATAATAGGTGTTAGACTTTGTGCTGGGAAGAGGGTACTCATAGATCTTTCCTTACAGGTGGCCGCGGGTTTGAAGAGTGACTTGGGGCTGGGTGAGAGCCCTCAGGCCAAGGGACATGATCTCCACAGTAACAGACAGCAGGCTTTCTGCAGCCAGGTGTGGTTGGAGCCCAGACAGCCAGACCTGGGATAGCACAGGAGACCTGCCTTTAGGGCATCTGCCCCTTCCTGGACGTTTGCTTTGCTCTCATAAAGTGCTTGGCTTCTGTAGAAGTCTTCAAACTCATTTCTTAGAACCACAGTGAGACACAGAGTGCATAAACTTTGGGGCTGGGAGAGGAACTATGGACTAGAGCCCTTCCCAAACCTTATCTGGTTATTCTTTAGCTTTACCCATTAAGGGCCAGATAGTAGAGCTCCCAGAGAGAGCTACTAAGCCAGCTGTCTGTTTTCAGGTTCATTTCCAAAATAGCCACCTTTTTCCTTTCTTGTACAGACCTCCGAACACATCACAGAGGAAGCCTCTGCCTCCTCATCCTTCTTTGATGAGCTGGTCCCTCAGAATATGACTCCATGGGAGATCCCCATCACAGAAGGTACTCTGATCCTGAGGAAGAGAAATGCTCTATGTGGGAGTAGGTGGGCTCAGAGTTCTTGGGCTTGAGAACATTTTCTTCTTGTCCCCTGCCTCCTGCCTCCCTCCCACCATCACAAATGCTGAGTGGTTCTGTTACTGGTTAGAGCTCTCTCTGGATTTTTATGGATACGTCTTTCCTGTGGAAAGCCTTCTAGCAAGATATTTTTTTTCTACTGTTTTCTTACTTAAAAGACTGTGACTCTGTTTTTGCTGAGCAACCACACACTATACCTCTAATTTTGCCATATGAGGCTTTCCCTCATCTTTAGTCCTGTCCTTAGAGAGTTACCACTGGACCTGGCGCTCTGGGACAGCCCACTACATTTTGTTGTTGAGGAATGAAACTTGGGAGTTTTGTTTGGGGCAAGGGAGGCTGAGTGATATAGAGATAGAAGGGGTGTACTATGGGCACTGTAGGGAAGCTAGGGTCTGAGGGCAGGCTCACATGGAGGGGATGCCTCTGCCTGCAGACACTGATGGACTCCTGAGCCAGGCTCTCCTGCTTGGAGAACTACGCCCTGCTGTGGAGCTGTGTCTGAAAGAAGAGCGCTTTGCTGATGCCATCATCCTGGCCCAGGCTGGGGGCGCAGATCTGCTAAAGCAAACACAGGAGTGCTACTGGGCCAAGAAGAAAACCAGAATCTCTCCGGTAACTGCCCACTGTGCAGGAGAGGAGGGGAAGGGATTACTTGGACTTTGTCAGGTGGATGCCTACACCTTGATGTTTAGAAGATCTGCCAGGCTTTCCCTCTCCCCACTCCAACCACCCCTACCTCACCCGCAACCCCTAGTCAGTGGTCTAATAGGAAGCATGTTCACCAATGGCTTTTCTTAGCGCGTCCCTGTGTGTGACTCTGACAGCCTGTGTTGGATGGATGGCTAATGACCTCCTTCCATCTCTGCCCATTATAGCTGCTAGCCTGTGTTGTACGGAAGAATTGGGAAGATATGGTTTCTGCCTGTAGCCTGCAGAACTGGAAAGAGGCACTGGCCTTGCTACTGACATACTCTGGGCCAGAGAAATTCCCTGAGCTCTGTGGTAGGTAGCCCTGGGTTTCAGGATGGAGTGGTGTGTCTCTAGCATGGAGTTAACGGACACGGTGAGGGAGGAGGCAGAGGAGCAGCCTGAGCTCTGGGAGGCCAGGCTGTGTTGTCAAGGCCAAGGTCTGGTTCAGCTGGGAGGCAAGGACTATAGTAGGGATCAGTATTGTCCTGTTTTACTTTTTCTCGTTACATATTGATGCAAGAGCTCCGCCCTTCACTGTAGTGCAAAATTGGCCTCATTATTGTCCAAAGCCACTGTGGTTACTTGTCCCAGCTCATGATCCTCCACCTGTTTTCAAACAGGAGAATGAGAAGAAGCATAGGAAAGCTATGCCATTAAAGAATTTTCCTTCTCTCTGCAGACATGCTGGGTACTCGCATGGAGCAGGAGGGTGGCAGAGCACTAACCTCCGAAGCCAGACTCTGTTATGTGTGCTCAGGCAGTGTGGAGCAGCTGGTGGAGTGTTGGGCAAAATGCCACCAGGCTTCATCCCCCCTGGCTCTACAGGTACTCCTTCTCTGTAGGGCACTGGTCACTCCATACCAGGCTCTTAGGAGAGGCTATTGATAGGGATGTGCAGGGACATCAGAGGTGAGTCTTCTGGGTACCCAGGCTGGGATCAGTATATTAGGGAGTAGAAAAGGGCCTTCAATGTCTGGGACCTTTTCCCAGGGATGAGCTAGCACCTTCCTCTCTCCTTCCCACTCAGGGGAGACTGCGCAACAGCTGCTTAGGTATTAACCTTCATAATTTTTTCCCACTTTAGGTTTGGTTATACAAGCTTATTCTCTATTTGAATAATTGTGAGCCTGGGCCTCCTATTAACTCCTATGAAAAGTTCTGTGGATTTAAATTTTACCAGACACTCTACAGGTAACTAGAGAAGATTCATAGGAAGACAAAGTCACAGATGAAACGATAGTATAACAGACCCTGAAATTGATGATGTACTAGCAGAGGAAAGGGTAAAGAAAGCAAAAAAAAGAGGCAGAGATGTATGAGAGTCTAAGACTCAGATGGACCCAGTTGAAGCAAATGCTAATAGCTTGAGAGGTGAGGCCAAGAGGCTCTTTTCTAACTATTACATCTCTTACATATCATCACTTGCTGCCTGTACCTGGCCATGGCCAGGTACCCTCATACCCATAGTGGGAAGTCCCTGGGTGAACTGCCTGGTCTTAGGGAGCAGGATGTGCTTTGAAGAGACCTGACTGCCTTTATCCCTGTTCCTATAGGACTTGATGGAGAAGGTGATGGTCCTTAATAGGAGCTTGGAGCTACTCCGGGGTCCTGATGGGGTGAGCTCAGGCCCTGCCACAACCTGCAGGGTCACTCAGTATGCCAACCTCCTGGCAGCCCAAGGCAGCCTGGCCACTGCCATGGGCTACCTACCCAGTGACTGTACTCAGGTGAGTGGGACCATGTACAGAGAGCAAACCATTTCAGTCATCTAACATTGGCTGAGCACTGCCATGTTCTAGGCACTATGCAAATGCTGGAATTCTAGAATAAATGAGATCTAGTCCCTTAGGAAACTCACATTCCCTTGGGGGAAATCAGATGTCAGTAACTTACAGTGTTATAACAGAAACTTATACTAGGCACTGTGGGACTCCAGGAAAGGGGCTGGTTTTGCCCAGAGCAGTCAAGGAAGGCTTTCCAGTGGTTAAAACAGTTGAGCTGGACCTTCGAAAAGAAGCAGCTTCCCAGGAGATGTAGAGCATTCTAGGCAGAAGGAACAGTAGGGAGGAAGGCTTGGCAGGGATTAGGGACCTTTGAGTCATCTAAGGTGGCTGAAGTGTAGAGGGCCAACTGAAGTTTGAAGGCTATATGGGGCCAGGCTTATAAGAAAGGATGTTTACTTGTTTTAATTAACACAGTTCTTCACTATTATAACTTTTGTAGCCACCAATTCAGCAGCTGAGAGATCGACTTTTTCATGCCCAAGGTTCTGGTGTCTTGGGCCAACAGTGTCCTCCTTTCCCCTTCCCACGGGTTGTTGTGGGAGCTACCCTCCACTCTAAAGAAACATCTTACAGATTGGAATTCCGGCCTTCTCACCAGGTAAGACCTGGTTTGGTTTGTTCATTCATTTGCTCATTCATTCAAAAATACTTATTAAATGTCTGCCAGGTACCAAGCATGATTCCAGACACTTGGAATATATTAGTGAAAAAAAAGATAAAAATTCTCAACTTTGTAGAGCATAGATGCAGTTATTTTTCTAATAACTGCTTGTCAAACAACTGCTAGGCTCTTAGAACAGAAATGTGGACAAACCATGATTCATGCCCTTAATTAGCTCATAGTCTAGTAGAAAGATAGATATGTAAAAAATAAGTACAGTAAAATTCATCAATGGCATGATTAGGGTATGATAAGGTGCCATGGGATCACACAGAAAAAAGCAACTTAGTCTTTCGAGGAGGGGGAGAAGTTTAGGGAATGTTTTAGAATGAGTATGGTGTTTGATCTGAGTATTGAAGATTAAAAGTTATTTAGGCAAGGGAAGGAGTAGGTAAATGCTATTTCAAGCAATGGGAACAGCATGTACAAAAGCACTGAAGGGAGAGTAAGCAAAGCCCACTTAAGGAACTACTAATATTTTAATGGGGCTGCAAAACAGGTGTTTGTTGTAGGGGAGTGAGGTTAGATGAAGCTGGAGTAACAGGTAGGAGATAGAGCAGGAGGGACCTGGAATTCTGTGCTAAAGACCTTAGACTTGACCCTGAAATTGAATGGTCTTATGCAGGGGAATGACTAGCTATGTATTTAGGAAGGGCAAGGCTGGAGGCATTTAAGAGGCAATAGCAAGAGATGATGAGGACATGAAATGACAGACCTAAAGCTGGAGAATGAGATTGGATTTAAGATAATAGGTAGAATTGACAGAAATTGGTGATGGTTTAGAGGAGTCTGTGAAGTGGGGGAACTGACCCCCAGGCACTCTCCAGTGCCCAGATGGTTAGGGTGCTATTAACTTATGATACCAGGATCCTGCTGGAGGGACTGGGGAACAAAATCCAGTAAGATGGTAAGTAGAGGTACCAGGCGGAAGCTCTGATGATTCATCCTGTCCCAGCTTCAGTTCTCGTCTTAATTTTCTTTCTTCTTTCCTCCTTCTTTCCCCTCCCTCCTCTTCCTTCTCCCACCCCCTCTCTCTTTCTGTCTCTCCGCCTCTCCCTCTCTCCTTTCTATTTTGAAATAATTACAGATTCACTGGAAGTTGCAAAGAAATGTACTGAGAAGTCTCATGCATCACATCCCCACCCCCCACTTCATGCCAGTGTCCCACACAACCATAGTACAATGTCAAAACCAAGAAACTGATATTAGTATAATCCATAGATTCAGATCTCACCAGTGTGTGTGTGTATAACTATGTAAGAATTTGTCTTCTCACCTTTTAAACAGGGTCCCTCACAAAGCAAAAATTTTTAATTTTATAAGGTCCAATTTATAGTTTTCTTTCTATGGATCATGGCTTTTATGTCTGTGCCAGTCCACAGTCCCCTAAAGTTTTCCTATGTTCTTTCTTAAAAGTTTTATAGTTTTACGTTTTACAGTTAAGTCTGTGTTCTATTTTGAGTTCATTTTTGCATATGGTGTGAAGTTTAGGTCAAGCTTCTTTTTTTTTTTTTTTTGCCAATGGATATCCATAATCATTTATTGAAAAGGCTGTCTCGGGACGCCTGGGTGGCTCAGTTGGTTAAGCATCTGCCTTCAGCTCAGGTCATGATCCCAGGGTCCTGGAATTGAGCCCCACATCGGGCTCCTTGCTCAGCAGGGTGCCTGCTTCTCCCTTTCCCTCTGCCTGCTGCTCTGCCTACTTGTGCTCTCTCTCTCTCTGACAATAAATAAATAAATTCTTAAAAAAAAAAAAAAGAAAAGGCTGTCTCTCCTCCATTGAACTGATTTTGCTCCTTTGTCAAAAACTAACTGGGCATATTTTTATGGACTTATTTTTCAGATCTCTGTTCTATTCTGTTGATCTGTGTGTCTTTCCCTCTGACAATACCACTCTGTCTTGAATACTACCTCTATATAGTAAGTCTTGACATGAGGAAGAATAATTCCTCCCACTTTGTTCTTCTTTCTTTTTTAAGATTTTGTTTATTTGAGAGAGAGAGAGTGAGGGGGAGAGAGAGAGAAAGAGCAGGAGCAGGGGGAGGGGCAGAGGAAGAAGGAGAAGCAGACTCCCAGCTGAGCAGGGAGCCTGATGCAGGGATCGTGGGACTCCAGGATCACGACCTGAGCCCAAGGCAGATGCTTAACCGATTGAGCCACCCAGGCGCCCCTCTTTGTCACTTTTTATAGAAACTTATCAGTTCTGTTGATTTTCATTTTAAGAGCTAGCTTTTTGTTTCATATTCTTTATTGTTCTTCTATTTTCAATTACTTACCTTTCTTTTCCTTTCCAAGTGCTGACCCTTTTTTCTCTTCACAGGTTCCAACTCCATCTCCAAGGCCAAGGATTTTCACACCTCAGTCATCACTGGTGACACCCTTGATACCTTCCCATCCTGGCCCTTATCAAAGCTTCCAAACACAGAATATAAATGATTACAGCGTACCTAAGCCCCAGGCGGCCCAGCCTTTGCCTTTGGGCCCTGGTGTAAGGCCTGGTAAGTGAGTGAGTGAGTGAGTCAAGATTTGTCTGGGCAGAGCACAGAGGAAAACTGTTGGCATGGCCAGCATGGACATGGGAGGCATTACGTCTACTATGTAGCGAGAGGAGCTTAGAATTTGAAGCCTGAATCCCCAGTACTATCACTTACTGGCTTTGTATCTATGGGCAACAAACTTAGCCACTGTTTCTTTTGAAAAGTGAGAATAGCTATTATATTGGTCATTTCAACCCCACAGGATTGTTTTTAGGGTCAAATGAGGAATAGTTAAAAGTATTTTGTAAATGGTAGATCTCCAAACACATATATTAATCTTTCATTATCATTATTAGGTTTGTTGTTTGTTTTATTGCTGCCTTATTCTTCCCTGATATGCTCTGAGTCTCTCCCAAATTGAAGTTTGATGGCAAATGGCCTGTTTCTGTTCCTTTTCAGCTTTATTTGAGCCACTGCTGTTAAGAGGGCAAAAAGCCCAAGTTCCTAACCCCATGGGGTTCCCTGGAACATGGCCTCTTCCTGGTCCACCTCCACCCATGGTACCCCCAGATGTCATACAGCCTGGCTCTACCTCCCTGGCCGAGACTACTCGACTGTTCCCTCCACTTCCTGTGAGACTACCAGGGGTCACCCCTACAAGCTTCCGGTCCCTAGCCCCTCCTGTCAATTTCTCTGCGACACACCCTCCAGGAGGGCCAGGTGCTACATGCTGTAGTGCACTCCCGACCACTGGCCCCTCGACTGCTCACCCAGGTCAGTCTTCTTTCCACAGCTTCCGTCTTCTGGGTCATTGCCTCCTTCTCTTCCCCCTTCCACTATCACCTTAGGAGTCTTTCCTCACACCAGTGAATTGGGGGCCGGTGGGCTGGAGAATGTCAACTGAGCACATGGCTGGTCTGCAGAGGGAGGTGTGATTGACTCCAACTAAAATAATTTTGCTGGCCTTCAGACTGAAAATTTCCAGTGTTCCTGACTGTGCCCCTAAATACCTCTATCTTTGTGCTATGCAGGACCTCAAGATTCCTTGAAAAATGCCCCAGTGCCCAGGGCAGACCTCCAGAGGAAAAAGGTCAGTTCATCTCTTGCCACCTACCCCTCATACATTCACCAATCACCCACATTCTAGTTTCTTCCAGAATTCAGCCTGTCCCTTTGTCAGGCACACAGACTGTCTTGTCTTTTTCCCCACTCATTCTTCTCCCCTCAGCCATCTTCTCTTTCCTTCTTGCATACGTGTATCAGTCTCCCCATCTCCTGGCTCTCTACTCACTACTCTGTTCCCTTGCTCACTCAGGACTTCTGTTGCTCTCTCTTTTCTTTAAGATTTATTTATTTATTTATTTATTTGACACAGAGAGAGAGATAGCGAGAGAGGGAACACAAGCAGGGGGAGTGGGAGAGGGAGGAGCAGGCTTCCCGCAGAGCAGGGAGCCTGATGTGGGGCTCGATCCCAGGACCCTGGGATCATGACCTGAGCCAAAGGCAGATGCTTAACTGACTGAGCCACCCAGGCGCCCCTTCTGTTACTCTTTCAGAGCAGGGCTTAGGAAGTCTCTCAGTTTAGACTCATATGCCTTTCTTTCTCTGGCTCTAGTTGCCAGAGACATTTATGCACCCAGCACCGATTACTGCTCCAGTTATGAGCCTCACCCCTGAGCCACGAGGGGTCCTTTCCTCACAGCCTTCTGTCCTTGGTGTGGGCCATGCTCCCCCAGGAGCTCCAGGAGAATTCAGCCTGCAGGTGAGAGGAACAGTGCATTCCCTTCCTCTTGGAAACTGTCCAGCTCTCCTTGGGTATAGAAAAGCAGGGAGCATGGGTGGATGGGCCTCATTCCTCAGTGGGGAGGCCGATTCTGCACTGGGGAACTGGTGTGGACAGGTACCAAATGTCCTTACTGCAGAGAAGAGGGCGCGCCCCTTTCCCCAGCTTTGCTGTGCTCTAGTGGGAGCGAGTGACACTGAGTCACTAGGACTAGTCTGTAGGGAATCTGTGAGAAGGACAGCTTGCCAGTCTGCCCTGTCTCCCTGTTCCTCCCTCAGCAACTTCAGCAGCGGCCCCCTGGGAAGGTGGAAAGGAAAGAGCTGCCTCCAGAGCATCAGTCCCTGAAGACCAGCTTTGAGAAGCTTCTGCGACGCTGCTCCCTGTTTGCCACCGATATAGTAAGTCTGAGCCTTCCCCACGATGTCTTCCTCACACCACTAGCTTGCTCCCAGATCCCTGAGCTGTAGATCAGTTCCTTGTGTGACTCTTTTCTCATGGTTCCCGGACCCACTGTCTGTGTCTTGTACTTATTTGATATCTGTGTGGGGCAAGGGCTTGGGGGGCTCGGCTGGTCTGAGTCTAGCACCTAGGTAGCAGGGCCCAGCAGCATTGAGGCTTAACTCATGGAAAAGCAGCATGGGGCACTGGAGGGAGGGTGAAACTAGGAGTAAGGAGATCTGCTGTTCATGCACTGGCTGTGTCAGCTTAAGCAAGTCACTTACCCTCTTTGGGCCCCCATTTCCTCTCCTGTGAAATGAAAGCAGTAGCGTTAAGTCATTCCAGCTCCGACATACTATGCTTCTCTAGAGTCCTGTGTAGTGTCAGTCTTAGGGGCTGGACTCAGAATCCATTTCTCTCCCTGCAGAAGACAAAACGGAAGCTGGATAAGGCAGCCCAACGTCTAGAATGTCTATATGCTAAGCTCTGCCAGGGCACAGTAAGTACACTTAGTGGTGCCCCTCTGCCCCCCACCATCACCTGTGGCCAAAGGGACCCCAGTATCCTCTCTCATAGGTCTCACTGACCTGGGTTTCCCACAAAATACATACATAGACATCTTGCCCGGCCTGGGCTCCAGAACTTAAATCCTCTCTTACCCTTCCATGCTCCCAGGGTAGGGTCTGGGTTGGGCTCCCTGACCTAAGCGTCCGTCCCTCCACAGCTCTCGCCTCATGTCCTGGCTGGGCTCCATGAGGTTGCCCGATGTGTGGACGCAGGAGACTTTGAGCAGGGCCTTGCGGTTCATGCCCAGGTGGTGGGCTGCAGCAACTTCAGCGAGGTCTCCAGCTTCATGCTTGTCCTGAAGGCTGTCCTCACCATTGCTCATAAGCTGCACATGTAAACCAGGTAGCCTCTCTTGCCAGGAGGCTACTTCTGCTGTTACTTTACTCCTCCCTGCAGAAAAGGGGGAATTTTGGAATAGATTCTGTTTGTTTTTCCCCGCGCTCTTCCCTTGCTGCCAGGGATATGATGCTGTGGGCTTGCCTGTGAACTAGCAGAGTGCCTGCTTTCCACGCCTTTATGCCTGGCCTTCTAGAATCCACCCAAGGCTCTCTCAGCCTCTGAGGCAGAGCAGAGAGCTGGTTCTTCACTTTCCCTGATACTGTACTCTGACAGGACCCAGAGCAGGGTGTCTTCTCCCCCAGGGATATTCTGATTAAGTGGCTTCTGAGGGGGTGAGCAGGATCATTACCTCCAAGTCTATCTCTGCTGTACCCAGCTTGTGGGGCTTTTGTTTTTCCCCTTCCATGGGTGATGAGCCTGACCTTACCTTCTCCTTGCCTCCGACTTCATATTTCCAGGTCCTTTTTTCTCTGAGCCCCGGAGGCTGGGGTAGAGTTGACTGTTGTTCATCTTTTGAACAAGTCATGGACATGAGGGGTGGGTGCTGAGCAGAACCAAAAGGAGGAACTTTGGCCCTTTTTACAAGGACCTACTCATCTGCCAGTATTATAAGGGTGGGCTCGGCTAGGCGGAAAATAGAAGAGGTGCATTGCCTTTTGCTGGGAGCTGTCCTAGGCTGGGAAACAGGAGGAGAGGGACCACTGCCTGCAGGGAATGGTCCTGACTTGAACTGTCGGGCCCCTGGCACACGGCCCTCGACCATTCATTCTGTGATCATCAGCCCAGTTCTGGAATAGGAGCCGTATTAACAAAAGACTTTTCTAGCACTGCTCCTCAAGGGTTGGAGGCCCTTCTCCTCAGCCCCTACATGTCTCAGGGCTGCCTTCTTTGGCTGCACTTTTCATGGTTGAACTTTGCATTTGAAGCACTGATGTACGTAATGGGCAATAAAGCTGCTTTGATTTGGTTTTCTCAGTCATCTCCCAATTACTGTCTCCTCTGGGTCCTATTTTGCCCTTACCTCTCTTCCTAGACTCTTTGTTCTTGCTCCCCGTGCCCCACTGAGGCAGGACACATGAGGAGTCTCGAGAGTTGAAGAAAGGAAGGTGCAAGGAGAAAGCCTTGCAGCGTCTGTGGCCACTCTGCTGTGTGTGTGTGTGTGTGTGTGTGTGTGTGTGTGTGTGTGTGTGTGTGTGGAAGGTGCAAGGAGAAAGCCTTGCAGCGTCTGTGGCCACTCTGCTGTGTGTGTGTGTGTGTGTGTGTGTGTGTGTGTGTGTCTGTATGGCTCCATCCGTGCCTGACGTTCAGCTCTAGGGTTTTCCCCACACCACTTCAGGGCCGAGCTCAGCTGCACAAAGGGGCTGGGTGTGAAGCCGGGGGTACGATCTCTAATCCTGTTGTAGATCCCATCATGTCTGTGGGCTAGATGTGTGTGTTTGGGAGGAAGGGATTGTTAGGCAGTATTTGTTTGTAAAGCCACTTGCTCTTCAGATAATACTTGCACTAACTTCTATTGATGAAGCAGTGTGAGCCCCAGCAAAGTCCTTTCCCAAAGTGTCTTTGAAGCCAAGAGCCCATTGAAGGGAAGAAAGGCAGGGAGAGGGGATTAGTTTGTTCAGCAGCTGTGAATTTCAGTGGGAGGTTGATGAACTCCGAAGTCTTTGTTTAAATTAAAGGGGGGGAGAAAAAAGCCGCTGCTGGAGTGAGAGCCCCACTTGGGGCCCTGAACTAACACAAGGAGAAGTCTGAGCTGCAGGGAGCTGTGTACTGACTGCGAAGACTTTTCCCAAACACTTTCGGGAAAGGTGTTGTGAGAAGAGAATGGGCGGAGTGGGGGATTAGCATGTGAAATGAAGTTTTCATTGACTCCAGTGGGGGTAGAAGGCTATTTTAATGGCATTTTGTTCTCTTATTTTCTCTTCTTGAGCTCTTTAGAGATATTGTTTTGCTAAGACAGGCTTTCTTCCCCCTTCTTTCCAGTCTGCGGATTGCCTCTATGGGAGCCAACATAAATATTTCTCCTCCAGGAATGCGGGTTAATTAAAAGGAAATGAATGAGTGGAAGCATCCAATCCAGACCCACAATAGGCGGGTGCCCTGGCCTGCCCTCCCCTCCCACCATCACCAGCACCACCAGGGCTGAGCACGACCCTGGCTCTGTCTTTGCCCTCACCTGCTGCTAAGGCCAGTTGAGGCTGGGATTCTTTTCAAGAAAAGAAAGCCCTGCCTGTGTGTAGGCTCACAGGCCAGGGACAGGAAGGAGACAGTGTTTTGCGCCCCACCTCCCCCCACCCAGTGTCCTTGTCACTTCTCAGAATCTCCCTCTGCTTCTCTCTGGTGGAGACAGATGGGCCTTAAAGAGTACACAAGAGGAGGGAAGGGACCAGGGTTCCAGTATGTACCCCATGGTAACTTACTAGTTGCCTGAACAAGACAGACATCTTTTTCAGTATCAGTTTTAATCTGTAAAACAAAAGGTTTGACTAGCTGACCTCCAAGGTGTCTTCCCAAGCCTGTTCTGGAGTTGTCCATATTTGCAAAGGGGAACACAGCCCTGGTGATTGAGTGTAAGAGAGAACCTAAACTCCATGAATGCAAGGAGGTTGCTGTGTTGTTCACCACTGTATTTGCACTCCAGTGTTTGCTGAATGACCAGATGAATGAATGGATAATGCAAGAGAGGAAAAAAAGCAATACAGATCTAAGGTAGCTCAATAATGTTTTTTTTATGGAACTCAGATGAATCTGGTATCAATTATATCCATTTGGGAATACAAAACAACAACCTATGAAAGAACTTTCTGGCAGCATGACAGGTTTCAAGTACTGACCTGGAATTACCAAATATGAAGCACAATAGTTCTCCTACTTTTATGCTACGAGACCTCCTGGAGAATGCAGTTTTCCTTTACAACCCTGTAGTTTTATATTTTCTAGCTGCCTTGCCAGATTTTCTTACTGCACACTATCAAGTAATTCTGCCAAGTGGGACAGCCAGGTTAATATATGCTGCTACTTGATTAGGGAAGGACAAGTGGGGAGATTCACGAGGCTCAGATCAAGGCTGAGGGAAGGAGCAAAAAAGGCCTTTTGCTGATAGAGCTGGAAATGAAGCGCTAGGATTGTCTAGGAAGGTCACTAGGTCACTAGGAGACCGTGAAGGGAAGTGTGTCCCCTGTGAGGAAGGGCACACAGCCTCTCCCCTCAGTAAGTGTTAGTTGACCAGAGGATGTATAGGGATGAGGCTAGGGGTTTAGAGTCTGACCTGGCCACTGTCCCAATTTGGCATACAAAAGGAGTCTTTTCACTCTCCTGGGTTGGCCTCTAAAGCCTCAGCCCCTGTTACCTACTTGGAGCCACATCTCTGTGCTCTCTCCTACTCTGGGAGGTAGGATGCGATGGTCCGGCATCTGACCAGTTCTCCTAAAGAGCTGTCCCGAGTCCAGACCCATGACCAGCTTAGGAGAAGGGAGATGGCTGGGAAGCTCCCTGGGTTACAGACAGTCTGTCAGGAATTGACTCTTCCCTTTCCAGAGCCCTCTTTCAGAAGCAAGTCCCTGCTGTACTGCTTCTGTCTCAAGTACACAAGCAATGAGCTCTTAGCTACTGAGTGAATGTATTTATTGAGGGAAGATTTATGTGGATGATTCACTAATTGTTGGCAGATTAGCCTCAGTCAGGCCAGCATAACTACTTAGGCCATCGGGGAAGTGAGGCTTAAGGGAGGATAGTGTTCTGGCAAGGGGGGAGGGAAGAGAGGGCCTAGATGTTATATCTTCCACCCACCCTCCCCAATGTCCCCAAGAATAAGTTCAATAGCTAGAAAAGAAGGCACATATCACAGTGACTGCAATAAATTAAAGTTCAAGGTGCTGAGCTTCCAATTGGAAAGTTTCGTTGCAGGAGGTTTACCTATTGAAGGCAAGTATCTAGTGCCCTGAATCCTGCCTGTTTGAGATCCAGGTTTGCAAAAAAGGAAAGGTCCCAGCTTCTCCTTCCTCAAACTGGGGTCTGAATGGGAAATGGGCTTTATTTAGCTCAGTCTTGGCTCAGAGAAACAAGGATCCTTTGGGGAAGGAGAAGAGGTAAATTTGGTTGCTAGGAAGAAATAGGTTAGGAGCAGGGAGAAGTTTAAGGGGTAGGAAATGACTGGTAATCTGCCCTTACATAGTTCCTAGACATTACGGGTATGCCTGGAGCACCTCGGGTGATTGTCTAGGAAGGTCACTAGGTCACTGCCTGCCTGGTGAAGTCCGCTGGAGACATGGTATCACGAGGATGAGTAGCATCCTTGGTTTCCAGCGAGTCAGCCCGCTAGGGTTCCCACTTCTTCCATCTTCAGGGCCTGCCTCTAGGAAACAAGCCCCAAAGACATGCTTTTCCCGCGGTCAGTTTTGTCACAGTTTTCTTCAGGGAAAGGGAACGAGAGAAAGCATTAGAGATTGCTGGGGTGTCTGCCAACAGTTAGCAGGGAATCAGGAGCACGGAAGGAACTCTGTAGAAAAAAAAAGACGTGGCTATGGTAGAGACCTGGCAGCAGAAAAATGGGGGGAGGGGTGCAAGAAAATGGAAAAAAGAGAAAAGCATGGCTTTACCCTGGCCCTGCATATCCGAGAAGTGTTCTTCCACAGGCTCCATAGGCCAAGTCAGGCGTTAGGGCAGCTAGCAAGGGGAGGGAGGAACGCCTATTCTCATCCTAGTCCAGGGAAGATCAATAGCTCAAAATCTCAGGACTGGGAGTTCTCAGCCCTAAGTGTGGCCGGTGAGGATGATGCAGACGGAGTTCGAGGAGAGCGCAGAGGAATCGGGGGAAAGGGTTGGAAAGTGGCAAGCTCTGGAGAGATGGCGGCGTCTCTCCCTCTTGGGATCCCTGGGCAGGAGAATGCGGGCCGGGCCGGGGTGGGGGTGGGGGGGCATTCCCTAGGTTCCTCTATTACTGGGGTCTCTAAAAGAAGCCTAGGACAAATGGGGAAAGGAAGGGGGGGAGGAGCCCCTCAGGGTTTTCTCCCGGCTTTGTGCGCCGCGCCCCCCCGCGGCCGCTCGGCGCGGCTGCAGAAGTACTTGGTAACCCGCCGGCGGCACTGCTCGCAGCGGACGGCGCAGCACC